TCTTTGTTTGTTTTGTTTTTTCTTTGTTTTAGTTTTATTTGCTAGCTTTTGTTTTTGTTTGTCTGTCGATTTTTGGTTTTCAATCAATCAGACGTTATACACAGTAGGAAGGCAATCCTTCCCGGTTCAACTTTTCTAAACCTTCACCTTGTATACCATCTGACTTTCTCTCGAATAAGTCTTAGTGATCAATTAAATTGTTGAAATTTCGTTTCCTTTCGACAACGCTGTAGTAGTGTAGCGCAGGCTCAAATGTGCTGTTTTGCAACGTATTCAGTAAGACGAAAGCGTCGCTGTACTTGCGAGGGAGATTGTCTCTTACTTTAACAGGCCTTTCATCTGTAGAATATGAAACAGCTTTCGCTGTCAGTTTTTGTCAAGTTGACTGATCGTAGTTCTCAAAATGCTAATAATGTGATCGTTGTAATCGTGAACCGTGTCGAGTCTTGCGTGGTACTGTATACCGTAGACTTGACGCTGTTATAATTGTCTCGTTTTGTTTTCGTTCTTGTTTGTCAGGGTTGTTGTATAGTTGTATGTTTGAGGCAGTTTGAAAAGCCAAACAAAACAAAAACATAGGCAACGGGAGAAAAAAAAGTAAATATAAAATATGTTTTACCAAAGCCGGGCTTATTTCAACCTTGCTTTCCGATAATTTTTCACTCCCAAAATTTCCAAGGTCTCTCCTCCGCAAGTTAATAAAACCAACGTTATGTGACGGACTTAGCTCGAGCCAAGAGTGTAGCGTGACAAGTTTAGAACCGACGATGAGCGGACCACCTGTTTTGGCAAGGAGTTAATATGAAGTAGGGAGCTGTCAGGTGATTTAGTTCATGAACCGGGCAGGTCTCTCAATTAGTGTAATTTAATGTACTAATTGTAAATAATTATGTAATTACGAGAAGCCTGTGTTTCTTAAAAGGAGAAGTTTGATTGGTATTCGATAGCAAATCGTAACAAATAAAGAATCACTTTCCCTCGATTTTTGTACAGAATTTTGCACTTTGAAGTGTTTCTCCTTCGCCCGCATTTTCTTTCAATTGCATTGAATAAGAGCCTGGAATGGGAATGTTTCTGCATCAGCCTCTTTAAATTTTAGACCAAAAAAAACAAACTTATATTTTCAAGGTTGTCACATTTTATTTCCAAGGGCTACCAATACAAGCAAGCGGTTTGAAATCAAAGATATAGTTTTCGAAGTTTATCGATCTGATCTTGCTACAGCAGTGTAATGATCACCCGACCGTGACCAGCTGCATTATAACAACATTCACTCTGCTGATCTTTACCAACATTGTAAGAGCCTCCCCCACCCCCACAGGAATTATATTCATTTTCTCCGCTGCTCCCCCCAGAGTACCCTCCTCCTCCTCCGGCGCCTCCCGCCCTACCGTATGAACCACCACCACCACCAAAACCACCCACAATATTATTAAATTTGGCTCTTCCACCTACCCCTCCCTGAAGGAAACCTTTGCCACCTTCTCCACCATCTCCCATGGTGCCACCAAACATCTTTGAACTTCTTCCACTGGAGTAAAAACCGCCCCCGCCGCCACCTGTTATAAAAGAAAAAGGTAGGCAAGAGGAAAAGAGGGTAAATACATCTTAATTGTCGAAAAATATCATAATCACTAAATCTCCTGTGATATATACTAAACTCAATTTTCCGATGAGAAAGGACATACTTTAAATGCCAGTTTTCAAGAGCTGAACTATTGTTGTAACTATGAACACAAACTTTATCAAATTAAGCTAAATTATCTTAAAACTCCTCTGATTAATTCCACCTTTCAATTTATTTCATGTCGTTATAAAAACGCTAGACCATATAGAACCTTTCCCTTGGTATTATCAGAATATCACAAAAATCTATCAAACGATTTCCACCAGGTTAGTAACGTAATACGACTAACATGGTTAAATGAACCGTCAGTGCAACTGGATAAGACTTACGCTAAAACCCTTCAAAAAAACTGATTAAAAGAAAGCAAGAAAATATTATGTGCACTATATATATATTTTTATTAGAAAGTTCGGATATAACGCGCGCTGAGAAAGAGCGTGCTCTATCAGAGCACAATGCACAGAGCTCAAGAAGTAGAGAGAAACATTTAGCCACGTCTCGTGTTTCTCCCTCACTTCTTCGGTGCTCTGGCCGCTTCCTACGTGCTCTAGAGTAGAATAAAGGACAGTCAAGGTGTCTATTTGTTAAACAGATCATTAGTTACTTCTTAAAAGTAGCAAGATCCCATTCGACTTTGTACACTCCTACTACACAAGAAGACACGGCAGTTTCAGCGCACAAAGCTGAAGAGGGTTATGTTATCGTGCTATAACCTTACCAGAATTATCATTATCAGCAGTCTGTGCACCATGTCCATTGCTCCCCCCTGACCATGATCTGTATCCAGGATTCCCTGTTTTGCTTATACTAGCGTCACATCCAGGTTGCCTTGAAAGTAATGTCTCCACGCCCCCACCACCTCCAGCTATTATTTAGGGTGTACAGCCACCTCTAACGACAAATGTCCCTCCATTACCTCCACTAGCGAACGGATACTTTGGACTGTTGTTGATCGTTCCTTCTTGACCAACAAGTATGTGAATAATCTCACCTTTGGATAAAGTGAAACTTCCAATCATTCTTGCACCTCTTCCTCTGTAACTAGAGGTGCTGCCCTTTTTGTCTTTGGTCTTGCCGTACCCTCCTGCTGCTCATATTGCTTCTACTCTGTATTCACCAGTGTACGGCACAGTCCATTGTTGAATACCGCTTGACAATTTAACTTGTCCGTCGTGATCCTGACCTTTGTAGTAACTGCCCAGCGTTGTTGGACCAAATCTTCAGCGCGCACCAAGATTTATAAAGACGGCCCTATAGGATGCTTTGTCAACATAAAATAGCTTATAATGTTTAGAATTGAATGATTCTGAGTCGTGTAAGTAATTGATAAAAGTTTGTTGTGCTAATTTATTCTTGATGAAAATAAGAAGTTTCGGGAGGAGCTTATTACGAGGGTCAAGTAGTTGCTTAAAGGACTACTTCGATTCTTGTGATATATAGTTGTTCCGAGTTGCATCTCCTTCTGTCTAAATTTAAAATTGATTTAGTAAGCATTCCAAATTTTCATCTGAAATCCAGGTATAAAGTTCAGGTCAAACATTATTTTATTCCTTGGAAAGAGTTTTAGAAGACCTACGTCAGTAAAATCAAAAGCTTAAGACAAAATAAAAAAAATTATAATTGCAGTATCGATGTGAGAAAAAGTACAGAATATAGACCATGAATGAAGACCTTTAGTATTTTCATCATTAGAGTAATTATTATTATCTTTATTGTTAGTCTTATGTATAAAATAATTATCATGTGATTATCATGGATATTTGTTCTAAATTTTGTTATCATTATCATTTTTGCTTTTATCAAACTTACTATCATAATAAATAGAGTTGCTATGATTCTTGGTATTGCACTGTGCATACTGTACTGCGCACAAAATCACGCTCTCCTATTTAAACTTGGTACCCTTGCCATCAAGCTAAGGCCATCATATTTTCGTCTTGTGCCGATCATGCGGATGCCAATTAATTTTTGGAAAACAATTGATACTTTCACTAGTTGCGATTCTCATGATATAACCACTTGAGTGTGAAGATGTAGTAACTCAGTTTGCACCTTACTCTCAAAGCTAAGCAGAGCATGATGAAATTTGATTTACTGCAGACTGAATGAGGACATTTTAAAAGAGTCACTCCGGCTTTACAAAAGCTCAAATAAAGGTGACATCTTAACAAACTTGTCAGACTTTCATAAGTCAATGTGCAAACTCTGTGCTATTTTGCTTTTAAATTCTGACAGTAATTAAACCAGTTTTAAGTTTACATCTAGGAAATGATTTACGTTTTGTTTTCACTAATTGTGACAGTTACGAGAGACGCGCAAAAATTATGTAAAGAAGGAAAAGCGGGTAACCTTTCTAAATGAATTTTGATAGAAAATTTATATTGCCGCTCTTAGATCGCCTAGAGTGCAATCAGGCCTGAAATGATATGTTTTATTTTTCATTTTTTTTTTAAATTTGAAATACGAGACGTTAGACCCTCTCCTGTTAATTACATTCTTGAAATAATGTAACGGTATCGTCTATTTGCAACTAATTCGTGACTATTCTCCAGAAATAGCGCAAAGCCAGCAATCGTAAAGTCGGGAACACTTTTAATTTTTTTTTTTTACCCCTTCCAAAGAAATGATGTCGTATCGAGTCTAAAAAAAAGAATGTTTGCTCCCTGGTGGAGAAAACCTTGTTTAGGTTAAAGGGAACAGAGGCAGCTAGTGGGCAGTTTAAGTTGTGTACAACGAAAGGGGGGGAGTGGGGGTGGAAGCTATTGTCAGGGGGAACAAGTCATCACCATACATGATGGTTAAAAATGGCAACTAAAGTTTTGAAAACTAAAAGGTACTGTACAGAGAGAAAAATACATGGGCGCACGTAGTTATGGAAGGATTGAGTGAGCACAGCGATGTGGCCCTCTTCCCTCGAGCTAAATATCTACAGCTTTAAAAACTAAAATAATGTACTGATTTCTTTAAGAACCACAGTACCAGAAGCAGCTAATATAATCGTCCTTGAGAAAGCTTGAGATAAAATACAATAAAACGAAAATATCGACGAGAAAAAAAAATTGACTTTTTATTTGTGTTTAAATGAAAAATTACATACCGCAAGATCTTAAAGATATTTTCAAAAGGCCTCGAATGCATAACAAACTGGTATGGCCTTTCTAAATCACATGGCCAATCTGATGGCGTTTCCTTACAATAGATTGTTACGTAATGAATTGGCTGAGAATTTGAAAAAAAAATAAAACTGAATGCTGACTGACTTTTCCCTTGAGAAACAGATATTTTTTTTTCGTCGGGTCCGCCGTGGGAAAAGGGCCGTTTACATTGGAATCAGTCATTATGTGTTTAATGATGCCCAAAATACGCTTTATTTTTACAGTAAGGTTATGATCACCTGACCATGGCCAGATGATTGATAGCAACATTCGTTTTGTTGATTTTTACCAGCATTATATGATCCTCCACCGCCTCCACAAGAATTACCCACTTTATTTCCACTGCTTCCTCCAGAGTATCCTCCTCCTCCTCCTGCACCTCCTCCAGTTCCATGAGCACCTCCACCTCCACCAAATCCACCAACAGCATTGTAATGCCTGGCTCTACCTCCCACCCCTCCCTGGAGAAATCCTTTACCACCTTCTCCACCTTTTCCCATAGTACCCCCAAACTGCTTTGAACTTCTGCCACTGGAGTAGAAACCTCCGCCGCCGCCACCTGTCAGTTTTATCAAGAACAAGGAATGATTGTATGCAATCTGTACATGTGGGGTTAGAGCTTAGTGAAATAGTTTATTCTTTGACTGAGTAGAGTAGAAGTTACTTTCTTGGGACAAAGATTAACGGAGATCGATGATAATTAATCAGACACACCGTGTCATCGAATATAGGTCGATATCACAGTAATGTAACTGAGTCAACGTTGATGTAAAATTCACTTTGAAAAAATAAAAATGGAGTAAGAATTTGAAAGATAACGATGCCTACAGGCCAACTTTAAAATACAAAATTGCGCACATCTTCAAGTAGAGGTCTCGTGTTATGACAAATGTGAGAGCAAGTAAATGATCTGTTTTCAAGTTCCCTTTGGTAGCTTTACAGCTTATTTATTTTAAAGCTACACTTTGAAATTAAAAACAAGACAACCATAAGACTAAAGAAACAAAAACCAAATAAAACAAAAAAATGAAAACAAAATAATTTAACATTGAAAAATGATAAATTCCCAATCTGCCCACAAGGCAGTTCGCCATCAAAAGCATTTATTATGACTTCAATAATTTTTACTTTTCTCTTCTTTCTGACAAAGTTTAAGTGATATGTGGATAGCACACATAAAAGTTTTGGTTCGAGAACAGGTGATAACATCAAAACAACCCACTTACCGGAATTATCAGCATCAGCAGTCTGTGCACCATGTCCATTGCTCCCCCCTGACCATGACTTGTAGCCAGGATTTCCCGATGAACCAGTACTAGCATCACATCCTGAATGTCTTGAACGTGCAGATTCTGTGCCTCCTCCACCCCCGGCTATGATCAAAGGTGTCTTGGCTCCTCTTACTACAAATGTACCTCCACCACCTCCATTAGAATGACCCACCTTGTTTAATACTCCTTCTTGACCGACAAGTATTTGAATAACTTCACCCTTGTTTAAGCGGAATGTTCCAATCATCCTTGCTCCTTTTCCTCGGTACTGAGTACTGTTAGGGTTTGTATCATACCCTCCAGCTGCTCCCATTGCTTCTATTATGTAGTCACCAGTGTACGGCACAGTCCACTGTTGAATACCGCTGGACAGTGTAACTTGTCCGTCATGATGCTGATAAGCGTAATGACTACCAAGCGATGTTGGACCAAATCTTCCACTCGCACCAAGGTTGGTAAAGACGGCCCTAAACTCTTTTTATTTGACACAAAAAGAAAGTATCTTTTTTTAAAAATTGATTGATTCCTAGTAGTGTTGGTAGCTGAGAATTATTTGTTATGTTCATTTACTGTTAATTAAAATGACTTTACTATAGTCCTTTACATACTCCTTCCTCTCACTGGAAGAAACAAATTCTATATACGTGTATTTTTAAGGTTTTACAGTTCAAATTGAATGCATAATTGTCAGACTTTGCAACTGTTGTTAGTCACCAAAGGAGAGATCAATATTATTGTAAAATTCCCGTTTTGAACTCAAGAGGACTACTCTGTAATTTTTATTAAGCTTGAGTACACCGATTTCATTCATGAACAACAATTAACCTCTTTAGATTTTTTCGGAAAAAAAGGGATATCGCCTTCAGACATACCTACGTTAAAATAATACAAGGTTGTCAAAGCATTGATAGATCCCAGCTTGTTGGACGCGGTACATTGGTACGTACCAGAATCTTTAGGATTAAAGTGTGATATGTGGAGAGTTCCATTGCTGACACTTGTTCGACCTTGTGGTAACGGGACAAGTCCTCTTGACCAATCTATTTCTGGCGAAGGAAATCCAAACGCTTGGCCAGAAACAAATGCGTTTGTACCTCTTCTGACTTTAATAACTCTGTTTGGAGTTTCAGTGAATCGTGGAGGAACTGAGGGAAAGAAAGAAAAAACATGTTTTCATCTAAATTCACTTAGCAATTCTTAAAAATCTTGGCTTACTTTCCAAAAAATGAAAAAAAAGACGAGCAAAAAAAAATTTAGGATCGAAACTGCTTGGGAAATGCAGTACATTTTACTTTTCTATGCTTTTCAACCATTTATATTCAAAACTTTGAAGAGCTATGATTTTTTCACTCTTTCCGGGTTGAAGTAGTTTCTTAGAGGACTATTTCCAGCCTCGTGATATTCTTTTTCCGACTTGCATCGCCTTCTTTCTATGTTTTAAACTGATTTAAAAAGTAATTTAAATTTAATCTAAAATCAAAGCATAAAGTTCAGATCCAATACTTTATTCCTTAAAAAGTGTCCTAGGAGACCTAGGTGGTAAAATCAAATGCTTAAGATAAAAGAAACAGAATTATATTTGCAGTAATGATAAGACAGGAAATAAAGAATATAGACCATAAATAAAGACCTTTCGTATTTTCATTATTTGTGTCACTATTATTACTTTGTTTTTAGTAGTGTTTAAAAATGATTATCATCGTCATTATCATTAGTATTTGTTAAAATTTTTTTTTATCATTATTATCATAATAAATGAATAGTGACGGTGACTCCTTAGTATTGCACTGCGCATCCTGCTCCAAATAACGTAATCAGGCGAATAAGCGCGAGCGTGTTCCGAGAAAACGGTATTGTTTTTCAGCCAATGGACCAGCTAAAGAGGTGCAATGGTCTTATGCTCTTAATAGAGTATGATGAACTGTATTTTTTATTGCACGATTTTGGTGTACAATTCATCCCCATTAAATTGGGGAATCTAAAAAAAATTTATCGAAGAGAGAAAAAAGAGATGCAGCTAAAAACGTGTACAGAACCCGTTGATGCAAATTACAACCTTGAAAGCAACGATTCAAGGAACGTTTTGAGTCGATGTCGTTTAAAATTGTGTGATTTATCCTTAAATCATACATCAAAATATTCCAAATGCTCGAGACTTTCTATCCATTAAGTTTTTTATAATTGTTACTTTAAAAACCCTCGCTTCCAGCTATCGCAAAAATGTACCTTAAGCCGCTGAAATGACACGCGTGATCAGTGCTGATACAGGCATTATTGGGGTAAGTTTGGCCCATCATATCTCTTAAACAAGCACGGTGAATATTCCGCGAAGATATACGTAAGTAAGATAAGAAATCAAATCTAAACTCATTAAGGTCACAATTTTTAATTATAACAAACGCTATTCTCCAAAATATGCTTACCTTCCACAAAGAGCTTCACCTGCTTTTGCACCTCACCCAATATGCTCTTAGCTGTGCAAACATAATTTCTCGAGTCATCATACGTAGCTTCTGTGATTTCTAACTTATTATGTGGGCTTGCAATTGGTTCCGTATCTCCTGTTCTACTCCAGGTGACGGTGGGCGTTGGATTGCCATTAGCCGAGCAATAAAACGTAGCAGTTTGGTTTTCAATAACAGTGTGTGAAGTTGGTGATACAGTCACCTCTGGTACAGATATGGACTCCCCTGGTTCACCTTTAGCTCCTGGTTGTCCAGGTGTCCCTGGGATTCCTTAGTGTAACAATGAGAAAAAGAGAGTTGTTAAAGGAAATAATTAAATGATAATTATTAAATATTTTAGGTATTTACATATAAAATAAAGTAATAACAATGAAAAAATAATTTATTGAGCGCTTTATACAAAAGTTCTAAGGCGTTTTACAATACTAATAAAAAAAATTATAAAATGAAAATAAAACAAAATAAAACTTACAACCTAAGATATAAAATATACCTGTAAAAAGATAAGATTTCAGAGGTCACCTAAATTTACTAACGCTAAGGGCACATACAGAGAATGTTCGGTCTCCATACGTCTTCAGATTTGATAGAGGAACTTCAGGTTGAAAACTAGATAAAGATCAAGAAAGATGTTTTTTTGTTTCTTTTTTTGTTTGTTTGTTTTCGTCTTGCCACGAGCGTGGGACAAAGAAAAAGTTCTGAGTCTCCGTGAGGAATCGAACCTGAGACCTTTGGATTCTGCGCTCCGATGCTTTAACCACTGAGCCACAGAGACTCTACGGTGTTACGAAGTTCATATATATGACACGTGTCCTGCATACTACTAGGATCAGCAATGTCGAAAGCATAATGTTTGTACGTAGAAACCAGAGAGATGGTAAGTTTTGAGCTTTTTGGAATGTATATATGCAGAGGATTAGTAATGTAAAGGGGAGCCAAGTTACTGAGAACCTTAAAAGCTATCAAAAGAAATTTAAAAGATCATACGTGTAAGGTTAACTTAACAACAATGACGAACAACGTAAAAAGTGTGTAAAAATTGAAAAGTAACCTACAACTATCTTTTATTTTTGCAACCATATACAGTGCGTTAAAGAAAAAGTTTATCAGATTGTGTAAAAGCAATATCCGTTAGAAATTTGATTGAATTGTTTTGTCCGTGTATGTGGTGAAACTGCGTTCTGATTACGAACATACTTTGAGTTTTATGAAAGATGACTGCAAGCTTGTTCACCATACAGATGCTGAGTCACAACGACATCCTGTAATACTGATGAAATACTGATTCTAACTAACAAATCGACAGTGGTTTAGTGTGGTCTGTACTCTTATGGACAACGATGTTCGTCATCGCAGTGGTCAAAATGTTGTGGACTAAAGAGGCGCTGCCGTGTGAGTCCGCGACAAATTGTTTAGCTTTTTAACCTCTTCCTATCGGGCCATCATCAGTAAAATCTCTAGAGACGCATAGCAGTTTGTCAAGAACAAAACGTGTGCAGTTGTTGCATTTGAATATAAAAGTCGCGTTAAATTTTGGCTCGAGCTTCGAGACTTCCAAATGGAGACAGTTTTTCCGTTCCATCTTGGTTGAAAATGACCTATGGAGCTCAAAATAAAAATAATTATGCCAGATAATAACCGATTCGGGAAACACATTAGTTTTGGGTTAATTTTTAAACGACACTTTAATTCTCAAACACGATACGAATTGCGGCTGGAAAATTTAAGTGAACTTTTTGACTTAAAATGAGGCTTTCCGATCTTTAAACTGTTCTTAGGAACGGTAAATACTATTTTAAATTGGTCATATATTCTAAACCTTTTATTCAATAAAAGATTTTGATTAAAAATCATACAAATTTCGGAGTCTTCAACATAATGCTGTGTAATGCTCTCGCTGTGAACTCTAGTAAGCAACAATAAAAACAAGGTGAAATCACTATGGTGGTCTCGTAAACGCAAGAAATTCCAACGTTTTTCGACTCTAAACAACACTGTAAGCACGATGATTAGTAACATTGTTTTGTTGTTTTACCTTTTTCTCCGTTGATTCCTTCAGGGCCAATATCTCCCTTGATACCTTGCTTTCCCGGTCCTCCTGGAGGTCCCACAACTCCTCGCGTTCCATTTCTTCCCCTAACTCCTTTGGGCCCTCTCTTTCCAGGAAGACCTCGAGCTCCTATTGGTCCGGGGGACCCTGCCACGCAAACCCTGTTTGGACTTTGACAGACATGTCCTTTCGTAATCGATCGCACGTATCTCTTGATAGCCTCTCCAAGGTCATAGAGGTTAATTGATTCATTGCCGTTGACTGTATCCACGCTGCGACGAACAACTGGAACTTTGTATCGGATCGCTAAAATAAACAAAGTAAAATCATTGACTAATGTTTCAAGTATATTTCGGCTGCATTCAATATTGACATATTCTTAAATGTATTTTTAAGAGTAGTTAGAATTTCCGCATTCAATCGTGGGAGCAAACGATATAATCTGGATCAGGCGATTTGCAAAAATCTAAATACATATTTAAAGCGTTTGTACTCGATCCCAGATGCTTCTAGATGGAACGAGAACCTTTAATAGTCTATATTGTGCCCGTTTAAACTGTCTAACACAATTATGTAATATAAATCTCACTAGGTAAAAATATATCTGCAGTCTGATTGGCTTCGCCATTGTTTACTTGTTCCGTTATTAATAATGTACATGAAAAAGTTACACGCTGAAAACGGATGTATTTTTCATGTAACACGAGTGCAAAGTTGTAACACGAGTGCAAATTACATACAACGCGCGCACGCTTTAACTTGCCCTACAGTCTGGGGCGAATTTGTTGTCTTTGAAAAATTTACTCGTAATTATTGACACCAAATTTCACTCGAAAGCATTTTATTACCTATACGCATAGCGAGTAAAGCTACTAGCCTAATTTTGTACGGCTGTAGATAAAAATAAATAAAAACGTGAGCCTGTCTTGATGTTAATTTTTGAAAGACTGCTGAATTAATACTGAAACAATTACATTAATCGCCATGAATCAAATGCGTGATAGAATTCTCGTGCTCGTAGTCTGATTGGTCTTTCACCAGTTTCCCGACAACAAACACAGACACCGTATACTATATACAAGAGAACATATACAAAATAAAGATATTTGGGCTAGAAAACTAAAAAAAAAAAATTAAGAGTAAGTTCTCAGTCACCCTACCATTTGATGTGTCAAAGTTTTCTCTCCCGTGGGAAGAAGCTGAACTTTCTTTTAGAACGTCTCGGATTTGCTGAATTTGCGGCGAGAATTTCGCGTCCATTGTCCTCAAGTCCCGGGCGACAGTTTCTATTCTCGCAAACAGAGTAAGACCCAACACAATTGAAATGACCGATAAAGTAGAAGAGCACATGGAAAATATTTCGTTACGGTCTCTTTTTCTGGTGGTCATTTTTGTATCTGGTACGCTGTTATCCATGGCGGATGGAGACACAATGGTGAAAGTATTAATTCATGTACGAGTCAGTTGAAGCGCTATAGGGGATCATCTCCAATTGAAAACCTTTCTGGCTTTAGCCTATTTACGTCATACGTGACCTTGGATACGTACTTCCTCTCTCTTAACATCGCGCAGAGTATTCTCGCAGGAGCCCTTTTTGTTCTACCTACTACTTAATTACTTATGTTCACGCTTTGAGGTCATAAAGCATCGATAATGTTGACTCGATTGCCTTGTTCTAAAGCCGTTTCATTAGCTATTAATCGTTCTTTTAATACTTGATTTCGACTAAACTCATAATCTGCAATCTCCGGTCACGTCACGCCTACACATGTCAGTTTTCACTATGGTTTTTTGTTTTTGGTTTTTTTATGGCATAATGCGCGCAGGGCCACACGAATCATAAGATAAAACAAGATATGGCGTGAAATATACCAGATTTAACTTGCGGTTGAAATCACTACTTATTGTTGCGCATACTCCGGGACAAAGAACCAACCACTATTAGCATTATTTCACTCTGAAGGCTCAAAAGCTCGGTTAGTAGAAGCACCAAACTAGTGTTTGAGTAGCATGGAGTAGACTTTTTTTTCTGCATTTTCATTAATTGAAGTTTAATTGCGAATAATACTTCTAGTAATGAAGAAGGCCAAATTTTTGTCAGTTATTACGGTCATCTTTCATTATATTCAGACACAATTCAAGTTTACTAATTCATTCACAAATTTCTTGCCCGTGTGTGCATCTTGAGAGAAGACAACCTCGAGAAAAAAGGTCAGTGTACGGTGTACAATATAGCTCAATGATTGTTATACACTTTACAGTTTTGAGGGCGTCTTATTCTGGAACAAATGGTAACTGTACCACTTTTTCTTGCATATATTGTTATAATGTTGGATTTGAACCTGAAAATTACGTAACCGTTTACAATCTAAAATTAGTAATCATATTCTCGAGCTCCATTCTGTTCTCTCTAACAAGAAGAATTTGTTTAACAATCAATAGAGTATTGATGATCATTTCTTTATTCTCGTGACCTAAAAAGGGTGAGAAAAAAGAGATGCTGGTCCCTCTGAAAGGTCAAAGGTTCAAAGATGTTAATTGACGCGAACGTTACCTGGAAGTTTATTGAAGTACCTTATTTGTTGTGCATGATATTTTATCAAGTTCCTTTTCAAATACTTTTGCGACTTATTACCATAAACAAGATGTCAACGTGCTGCTTTCGCCACATCTGACTTAAAAGAAAAGCACCCAGCACAGAGGTTTAACCATGTCGCCATGCTTTTTCTAGTGTGCGAATGTGTGAAAAAAAAACAAGAAAAAATAATAAGAAAATATGAAATATCTTTTATGAAAGCCCGGCTTATTTCAACCTTCCTCTCCGATAATTTTTCGCTCCCAAAATTTGTATGGTCTCTCCTCCGCAGCTTAAAGAAACCAACGTTACGTGACGGTCTTTGCACGAGCCCAGAGCATTGCGTGACAAGTTTAGAGCCAACAATGAGCAGACCACCTGTTCTAGCAGGGAGTTTGAAATATGAAGTAGGAAGCTGTAGGTGATTTAGTTCTTGAATCGGTCAGGTCTCTCAATTAATGAGAATTATTTACTAATTTTAAATGAGTAATTAAAAGGATCATTTATTTCTTAAAAGGAAAAGCACTTGGAAGCGTCAAGCAACAAACCACTATTTCTCCTTCGCCCGCATTTTCATTCAATTGCACTGATTGAGAGCCTGGAATGGGAATGTTTCTGCATTAGACCTGAAAAAATAAATACAACTTCCTTTGTAAATTTTAGACTAAAAAAAACGAATTTTTTTAAGGTGTTCACACTTTTTATTTCCAAGGGCTACCAATACAAGCAAGCAGTTTAAAATCAAAGATATAGTTTTCGAAGTTCATCGATCTGATCTTGCTACAGCAGTGTAACGATCACCCGACCGTGACCTGCTGCATTGTAACAGCATTCATTCTGCTGATCTTTACCAACATTATAGGAGCCTCCTCCACCCGCACAGGAATCATTTTCATTATCTCCGCTGCTTCCCCCGGAGTACCCTCCGCCTCCTCCGGCGCCTCTTCCCTGTCCGTATCCACCACCACCTCCTCCAAAGCCACCATCGACAGCTTTAAATATGGACTTTCCGCCCACTCCTCCCTGAAGAAATCCTTTGCCACCTTCTCCACCCATTCCCATGGTGCCAGCAAACCACTTTGAACTTCTTCCGTTGGAGTAAAAACCGCCTCCGCCACCACCTTAAATAAATGAAAGAAAGAAATGGTGATGGAGTTTCGCATAAATTCCCCACAAGACACAATTTCGATATGCAATATTATCTTGCATACAGTGTATACTACTCCTGAAAAGGCAATAATCATCCGAATGCAGAGGCTCCCATCATACTGCACGCTTTGGTAATGTCTAACAGGAAATTGTTCCTCAGGCATTCGGAGGTTATTACGAATGTAAAAGTCTAGTATCGTTGTAAAATCATCTACCAGTATCATTTAAAATATGTGAGATGCTAAAAATTTTCTGCATGCCTAATCTAGACGTAAAAAATATCTCTATCTAATCTTACCTGAATTGCCATCATCAGCTGTCTGTGCACCATGGCCATTGCTTCCTCCTGACCATGATCTGTACCCAGGATTTCCCGATGTGCCTGTGCTGGCATCACATCCGGGTTGTCTTGACTTTAAAGTTAGTATACCTCCTCCTCCCCCGGCTATTATCAAAGGTGTATTGCGACCTCTGACGACAAATGTTCCTCCGCCACCTCCACTGGCGAACGGATATAGTGATCTGTTGTTGATCATTCCTTCTTGACCAACAAGTATTTGAATGATCTCACCGCTGGATAAAGTGAAAGTTCCAATCATTCTTGCTCCTCTCCCTCGGTATTGAGCACTATTAGGGTGCTTATCATATCCTCCAGCTGCTCCTATTGCTTCTATTCTGTATTCACCTGTGTACGGCACAGTCCATTGTTGAATACCTCTTAACAGTTTTACTTCTCCGTCATGATCCTGTCCTGTGTATTGACGGCCCAGCGTTGTTGGACCAAGTCTTCCGCTCGCACCAAGATTTGTAAAGACGGCCTTAAAGTCTTATTAGTTAAAATAAAATTAGAATATAATGTTTAGAATTGAATGATTCCGAGTCGAGTAAATAATTGATAAAAGTTTGTTGTGCCAATTTACTCTTTATGAAAATAATAAGTTTCGGGAGGATCTCATTACTTGGAGTAATGGGCTCCTGGTTTTGGGGACTTAAGTTATAATTTGAATGCAGGGCTAGATTTTACAACTGTCATTCGCAAAAGGAGAATTTAAAATTGTTGACTAATTTCCCTTTGTAAGTCGAGAGGATTACTTGGTTATTTGGTAACTGGTGAGTTCGCCTCTTTGCGGCAAGTTCACTTACACGAGTTCGCCCCCTAACGTGAGACAAGTTCGCTCCACCTTTATCGGTTCGCCCCCAAAATATTTCGACTCATTTACCCAACCACAGAGAGTGTTAATTTCCTTCAAAATATGACGAAAGATGTCACTTTCAACTGAGCTTCTAGGTGGATATTAACTTACAACTATAAAGTGTCTGTCAATAGTATTTTATGTAATGCTTTAGAATTTTTAGGTCAGTGCAAAGTTCTAAGGTAAGGCGACATCACTAGTTCTCAAAAATTGCCACGAACAAAATCGTCCTCAGACATACCTGTGTGTATATAATTTAAGTATGTTAAGGCACTGACAGATCCCAGCTTGTTGGACGCGGTACATTGGTACGTGCCAGAATCTTTAGGATCAAAATCTGATATATGTAGAGTTCCTTTGCTGATATTTGTTCGACCTTGTGGTAACGGGACAAGGTCTCTTGACCAAACTATTTTTGGCGAAGGAACACCAAATGCTTGGCAGGAAACAAATGCGTTTGTACCTCTACTGACTGAAATGACTCTGTTTGGCTTTTTAGTGAATCGTGGAGGAACTGAGGAAAACAAAACGAGGCAAATGCATGTTTTTATCTAAGTTCGCTTAGCAATTCTTAAAAATCTTGGCTTACTTTCTTAAAAAGTGGATTGTTTTTCAATCAATGAACCAGCTAAAGAGGTGCAATGGTCTTATGCTTTTAAACCAGCATGACCTATATTTTTTATCGCATGATTTTGATGTACAATTCATCCCCTTTATATTGGAGAATCTAAAAGAAATTACAATAAAATACAGTTAAAAGTGTGCAGAAAGCCCATTACCCGTTGATGCAAATTATAATCCTGAAAGCAACGACTCGAGGAACGTTTTGAGTCGATGTCGTCTAAAATTGTGAGAATTTTCAGACCTGTTTTGTATTTTTTGAAAAAGACATTGGTAGAGAGCATTTAAGGAAAGTTTAATACTTGTTCCATGACATTTTTTCTGAGGAAAACCTTAATTGAAATCTTCCGAACATTCCGTGAAGATTTACGTCAATTATTGTGAGAAATAAAAAGATAGCTCGTTGGGATCATAATTACCAACTGTAACAAACTCTTCTCCAAAATATGCTTACCTTCCACGAAGAGCTTCACCTGCTTTTGCACCTCACCCAATATGCTCTTAACTGTGCATACATAATTTCCCGAGTCATTATACGCAGCTTTTCTGATTTCTAACTTATTTTGTGGGCTTGCAAATAAGTCTGTACCATCTGTTCTGCTCCAGGTGACGGTAGGCGTTGGGTTCCCATTAGCGGAGCAATAAAACGTGGCAGTTTGGTTTTCAGTAACAGTGACTGAAGTTGGTGATACAGTCACCTTTGGTGCAGATATTGACTCGCCTGGTTCACCTTTAGCTCCTGGTTGTCCAGGTGTCCCTGGGTTTCCTTAGTGTAGTAATGAGAAAAAGAGAGTTGTTAGGGGAAATAATTAAATGATAATCTTAAAGATTGCACCTTTAGATAGAGACATATAAAAAATTAATAAATAATAATAACATTATTTAAATAGTACTTTGTACAAAAGTTCTAATACACTTCACGATATAAACAAAAATATATATAAAACAAATAAAAATGAAAATAAAATAAAATAAAGCTTCAAATAGCCTAAGATATAAAATATCGTTTTAAAAGATAAGTTTTCAGAAATGACTTAAAGGTACTAACATTGGAGCTACGCTTGATATAACTAGGAAGACTAGGGGGCCCATATAGGGAGTGCTCGATCCCCGTAAGTTTTCAGATTTGATGGAAGAACTTGAAGTTGAAAACTAGATGAAGACCTTAATCGCCTATTTGGAGTGTACATATGCAGAGGGTTATTAATGTAAGAGGGAGCCAAGTTATTCAGAGCCTTAAAGGTTTTCAAGAGTGATTTGAAAGATCATATGTATAACGTAAACTTAACAACAATGACGAATAACCGTCATATTATGGAAAATAACCTTTGGAGCTCGAACGAAAATAATTATGCTGGATGATAATTGATTCGGAAAACAAATTACTTAGTTTTTGGTTAAAGTTGTTGCGACGCTTTAATTCTCAAACGCGATACGAATTACGGCTAGAAAATTATAAGTCAAATTTTTGCCTTCAAGGGAGGCTTCGCTATCCTTAAACTGTTTTTAGGACCGGTAAATTTTATTTACAATTAGTAATATATTCTAAAAATTTAATTCAGTGAAACATTTTGATTAAAAATCATACAATTTCGGAGTTTTTAACAGAACGCTATGGTGTGAACCCTCGTAAACATCAATTCAAGCAAGGTGAATTCATTGTAATGGTCTCGTACACGCAAGACATTCCTACATCTTACGATTCCGAACAACATAATTAACACTTCTTTGCATAAATCTTGAATCTTTATCCTTGCTTTTTCATTGTAGTTTTTGGATTGCACGCGATTATCTGATACACCTGACTTAACATTGATAAAACCATTTTTCGAGCACAGTGCTGTATGTGTTTAGGTTAAGATTCACTTTGGAAGTGCTTTCCAAAGTTCCCCCTTGTATTGATACCACGATATATGCACGCTAAGCATTAGGCAATGTTGCAAATGAAATGATGAAAGGAATTATACACCAATGAACACTAAATAATTGCAAAATCAAACAAAAGCACATCCAAATAAAACTATCATCACAAACTAACATTGTATTATTATTTGACCACATTTTATTAACAAAAATAAGTTTTGCTGTTGTCATTATTATGATTATCATCATTGTCTTATTGTTTACCTTTTTCTCCGTTGATTCCTTCAGGGCCAATATCTCCCTTGATGCCTTTCTTTCCCGGTTCTCCTGGAGGTCCCACAACTCCTCGCGTTCCCTTCTTCCCCCTAACTCCTTCAGGCCCTCTCTTTCCGGGAAGACCACGAGCTCCTATTGGTCCGGGGGACCCTGCCACACAAACCCTGTTTGGACTTTGACAAATATATCCTTTCATAATCGATCGCACGTATCTCTTGATAGCCTCTCCAATGTCATAGTGGCTACTCGATTCATTCCCGTTGACTGTATCCACGCTGCGACGAACAACTGGAATTTTGTATCGGATCGCTGAAATAAACAAAATGAAATCATCGACTAATGTTTAAAGTATATTTATACTGCATTCAATATTGACATTTTCTGTAAAAAATGTTTTTCAGAATGGTTAGAATTTCCACATTAGTCATTAGAGCAGACGACATAATCCGGATCAGGCGATTTGCGAAAGTCTAAATATATTTTTAAGGCGCGTGGCTCGAGCCCAGATGCTTCTGATTGAAACGAGAACCTTTGATAGTTCATATGGTGCCCTTTTATTAGCGTTCTCATACAATTTCTGCAATCTGATTGGCTTCGCTATTTGTTACTTGTTCCGTTATTCATAACCTACATGGAAAAAATTACGCGCCGAAAACAGATGCGTTGTCATGTAACACGAGTGCAAAGTTGTAACACGAGTGCAAATTACATGTAGCGCGCGCACGCTTTAACTTGCCCTACGGGCTCGGGTAATTTTGTTGTCTTTAAAAAATATACTCTTGCTTATAAACACCAAATTGCACTTGAAATCATGTTATTACCTATACGTATAGCGTGTAAAGCTACTAGCCTAATTTTGTGAGGCTATAGACAAAATTAAATAAAAACACGAGCCTGTTTTGATGTTAAGTTTTGAAAGACTGCTGAATTAATACTAATTAAAAAAAATTACATTAGTCGCTGCGTGATAAAATTCTTGTGCCTGCAGTCTTATGGTTCTTCTATCCAATTTCCAGAAAAAAAAACACAGATACAATATACTATTTAAAGAGAACATATACGCAAGGACAAAATTTGGGCTAGATACCAAAGAAATTCAGAGTAAGTTCTCAGTCACCCTACCATTTGATGTGTCAAAAGTTTCGCTCCCGCGGAAAGAGGCTGAACTTTCTTTTAGAACGTCTCGGATTTGCTGAATTTGCAGCGAGAATTTCGTGTCCATTGTCCTCAAGTCCCGGGCGACAGTTTCTATTCTCGCAAACAGAGCAAAACCCAACACAATTGAAATGACCGATAAAGTAGAAGAGCACATGGAAAATATCTCGTTACGGTCTCTTTTTCTGTTGGTCATTTTTGTATCTGATACCTTGTTATCCATGGCGAATGGAGATACAATAATGAAATTGTGATTCATGTGCGATTCAGTTGAAGCGCTATAGGGGACCATCTCCAAATGGAAAACTTCCCTTTTAGCTTTAGCTTATTTACATCGTACGTGACCTCAAATATCTACTTCCTTTCTCTTTCCATCACGCAAAACATTTCCACAGGAGCGCCTTTTGCTCTGCCCACTTCTTAATTACTTCTGTTCACGCTTTAAGGTCATGAAGCATACATATTGCTGTCTTGATTGCCCTGTTCTGTAGCCGCTATCAATCATTATTTCAATACTTGATTGCGACTAAAACTTATGATTTGTATAGGACCCTTACCCTCCCCCCTCCCCTCCCCCCTTCATAGGCGATATTTTTTGCTTATCGAATGACATTATGATGGAAATATTATCTTATGAACGTGTCGGCTGAAGCGATTCGGTTGTTTTTGTAATCACAGCTGAACCTGTGGGAAATCTTTCATGTATCAATAACAAAGTCTGCCATAGTAAAAGCTTACGGCCTTTCAGTTGATTTTAAGATATCACGCACCACTAACAAGTTCCGGCAGCGTATCAAGTACTTCTGGTCGAAGCATGTTTTGAAATTTTGTCGTGACCCGGTCGTGCCAAATTACTAATGGCAAAATTAGACGGCGCTGTAATGCCACCGAAGTGATTTAATACTCCATTGTGTGCCTGAAGTCGCGGAGGAATTCAGACACTGAATCTTCGCATATTAATAGTATTAATTAATCTATTTTTAGACAACTGCTGCTTTCGTTAGGTTAGGCTCTCATGATATAACCACTTGAGTAAGGGTAGCAAAGAAGGGTAGGGTAAGGAAAATTTTTCTAGAAAATGAATGCGTCACGTATATAAAAAGATTAACTTCAACTCTCTCCTCTTGTGTGCGAGGTTTCAAGAAAATTTTGACGTTTTCACGACATGAAACACATCTACGGGTTACTTTTATTTCATGAGGCAAATCACGCCTCACGCTGATTCATAAATTCATGAATCACGCCCGCTTTTTTGTCACGCTTTAATGTCACGCTTCACATATCAATTATGGCCTTAATCACGCGCCACGTATAAACCCTTCGCCAGCCTCTTGAGGTGTACTTGTAGTCTCTCGGTACGTGTAATATGTAGGTTAAACCAAGCCTAAGAGCGGAGCTGCAGTTAGTTTATTTTCCATCCTTCACTTTACAAGAATTTCTCTCTGGCTGTTGAAGACTTTGCTCAAGAGAATTTGGGGACTAATCATGTACTAGTTCTTAACACACCGAATTGCACACGGAATATCTTCTTGAGCTTCTTTCTATGCTTTACTCCTGAAACGTTTACATTGGAGTTATCAATATACAAATTTCATTACGCCTACGACTGCTTCAGTTAGCGATCATTTTTGAGTATATATTCCTTTTTTTTTTGGACTAACCTTCGCAATAAGTTGCTGAAATTTTGGAAAACCAAAATAAAAACATACCTTTAAAAAAAAAACTGCTCACTAAGAAAAGTGTCTTTGGTATGTATACTTTGGTATGCTACGTGTCGGTAGTCATGCACTTAATAAAAAGCTCCTTGCAGTTGGCATAGGAAAATTTTTAGTCAGGAGTTTCCTACAGTAGTGTTATAGTCACTTGACCATGTCCAGATGTTCGATAGCAACACTCGTTGTGCTGATCCCTTCCAGCGTTGTAGGATCCACCTCCACCCCCACAGGAATCAACTTCGTTATCTCCACTGCTTCCTCCAGAATAGCCTCCTCCTCCTCCCGCTCCTCCACCGCCGCCATATCCAAAAGCACCAGCTCCTCCTCCAAAACCACCAACGGCATTATTGGCAAGGGCTCTACCACCCACTCCTCCCTGAATAAATCCCTTTCCACCTTCACCACCGAATCCCATCGTACCGCCGAATTTTTTTGAGCTCCTTCCATTTGTATAAAATCCACCGCCTCCGCCACCTGCGAAATACATGATCGATATATTTGCATTGGATTCAGATATGACACAAACGATATAGTATTCAAGATTGTTGGTATATATGTGAATCATCGTGAGACAGGTCCAGAGAGGAAATTAAGTAAGAAAGACGAGTTAAATAGTTGCTCTCAGTCAATAGAGCCAGAATAAGAAGTTCAACTCACTAATTGTAATATAGCGAGATACTGTGAATGACATTCTTGAATAGTTTCCAGTGTTATTATCTCTCATACAATGGTTGTGCAACTGACCTTCACAAAGAAGTAAATGCGCTGACATTGTGGGGAAGCTATAGCTAGGAGTACTGAAGAAAATAACAGGATCGATCTTTATTTGTTGTAAATCTTCAAGCTGAAACCCTTAATTTGCCTTTAGATCTTTAACAATTTTCTGAGGGTATGCGGTCTTTCCTGTCACAGTTTTCACTGATAAATGCTCTCTTATATGGAATTCTGCGGAATTTGCTGTGAGAGCAAATTGCACGAAAAATTACAAAGCCAGCCAGAGCTTTCGTGGAAGATAAATTGGCATTTTCTTTGACATATTATACTTGTGATTTGGATATGCTCGCAGCTTTTACCTGAATTATCATTATCGGCAATCTGCGCTCCATGTCCATTTATTCCTCCGGACCATGATTTGTGCCCAGGGTTCCCTGTTGTACTAGTGCTGGCATCACATCCTGCATACCTGGACTTTGCCTGTTCCATTCCGCCTCCACCCCCGGCTACTATCAATGGCGTCTTGCTCCCCCTCACAACAAACGTAGCTCCACCACCTCCAGCCGCATAATCATCATGATTGATTCCTCCTTCTTGGCCAACAAGTATACGAATTGTCTCTCCTTTGGACAAAGAAAAAGTACCGACCATTTTTGCACCTCTCCCTCGGTATTGACCATTGTTGCTATTTGTGCCGTACCCTCCTGCTGCTCCGACTGCTTCTATTCTGTAGAAACCAGTGTACGGCACAGTCCATTGTTGAATACCGCTGGACAGTATAACTTGTCCGTCATGATCTTGATTAGCGTAGTAACTACCAAGCGATGTTGGACCAAATCTTCCACTCGCACCAAGGTTAGTAAAGACGGCCTTAAACCCTTTTTAGTTAACAAAAAAAGAAAGTATCTTTTTTTAAAAAATTGATTCTTAGTCGTGTTGGTAACTGAGAAAAAATTGTTATGTTAATTTACCGTTAATATAAATGACTATAATTGTCCAAAACATACTTGTAAGATATTCAATTTTAACAATCTGTTGTTGCTCTGTCGTAGTTCGCGGTTCGCTCAATCATTCGAGACAGGATAAAGGCTCATTTTCCAAAAAAACAACATTTATAAACAACAACATTACCACGCCATCTTGAAGGCGTGCTCATACTTATTTATCCATAATACATTGCGAACATAGTCGTGACGCGATGTCACGACATATGTAACGACATCCGTGTCACATACTCCTTCCTCTCACTACAAGAAACAATAAAAACAAAACATTTTTCGAAGTTTTTAAGTTCAAATCGAATGCATTGTTAGACTTTGCAACTGTCGTTAGTTGCAAAAGGAAAGATTAGTTATTGAAAAATTCCCGTTTTGAAGTCAAAGGGATTACTCGATAATTTTGATTGAGTTTGAGTACACCGATTTCATTCATCAACAACAATTAAAATCCTTAGCCTTTTTTGGAAAAAGAAAGATATTGTCTCCAGACATACCTACGTGTATATAATATAAGGTTGTCAAAGCACTGACAGATCCCAGCTTGTTGGACGCGGTACATTGGTACGTACCAGAATCTTTAGGATCAAAGTGTGATATGTCTAAGGTTCCATTTCTGACACTTGTTCGACCTTGTGGTAACGGGACAAGTCCTCTTGACCAAACTATTTTCGGCGAAGGAAAACCAAGCGCTTGGCAAGAGGCAGATGCGTTTGTACCTCTATTGACTGTAATAACTCTGTTTGGAGTTTTAGTGAATCGTGGAGGAGCTGAGGAAAATAAATAATAAAATATCTCAGTGGTCATGGGTTCAAAAACAAAAGAAACAAAAAAATCCATTGAGGATTGAAACTGCTAGGGAATTATACTACTTTTCCATGCTATCCAACCATTGATATTCAAAACTGTGTTCAATTGTAAGCTTTTCACTCTAACATGAGTCAAATAGTTTCTTAGAGGACTAGTTCGAGCCTCTTGATATTTATTTACGACTTGCTCCTCCTTCTTTCTGGGTTTTAAACTGATTTAGTAAGCATTTCCCTTTTCGAAGGGGAAAAATGATACAGCTAAAAGCGTGCACGAAGCCCGTTACCCGATGATGTAAATTATAACCTTGAAAGCAACGACTCGAGGAACCTTTTGAATCGATGTGGTTTAAAAATTGTGTGATTTTTCCTTTTATTACACCCATTTTGAAATCACTGGTGGTCCCTGTAATCTGATTGGCTCTAATTGGTGCGATTTATTCACGAATCGCACCATTTTTTGCTTTAATTCGCATGTTTTCCCCAGCCAATGAGGAGGCTACACTAAAAACAACCAACCAATCAGACTTCATGGCTTGTTTAACGTAACCGATTATATTGCAGGAAGATGAAAGACATGGAGTATCACGTGGCAAATTTTGCAACTTTTGTTTCCAAAACTCTTATTTTTTTCCTCCCAAAAATGGATGAGTTTAATTTCAAACCGGCTCAGTATTGTATTAATAAAATATTAGAACTGACCAAATCCTGTATTTGGGCGATTTCAAAATGGATGTAATGAAATGGTAATTGAACCTTGCGTTGGGCAATTTTGGTCTGAAATCATACTTGTGATTTCAAATCGAACTCGCGCTGCGCGCTTGTTCCATTTTGAAATCACGCGTATTATTTCAGCCCAAATTGCACTCACCTCAGTTCAATTACCATTATAAATCATATATCAAAATGTTCCATACAATCGAGAATTTCTACCCATCAAGTGTTTTTCATTGTTACTTTAAAAACGCAAAATGTACCGTGAAACGATTAAATAACGTGTGTGATTAGTGCTAGTACAGGCTTAAATGGGGTAAGTTTGGGCCATCCTATCTCTTAATCAAGCAAAATGACCTATTTTTTAATGGTATTTTTGGACACAGACATTTGTAGGAAACAATTAAGGAAAGTTAAAAAAGGAAAGATTCGATAACTTCTTTTGAAGAATCATCTTGAATGAAGTTATTCGAACATTCCGGGATGATTTACGTGAAGTAAGATAAAAAATCAAATATAAAGTCATGGGGGTCAAAATTTCTGACTGTGTGTGACAAACTCTATTCACCATCATATGCTTACCTTCCACAAAGAGCTTCACCTGCTTTTGCATCTCACCCAATATGCTCAAAGCCGTGCAGACGTAATTTCCTGAGTCATTATACGTAGCTTTTCTGATTTCTAACTTATTATGTCGGCTTGCAATTGGTTCCGTATCACCTATTCTACTCCAGGTGACGGTAGGCGTTGGATTGCCATTAGCCGAACAATAAAACGTGGCAGTTTGGTTTTCAGTAACAGTGTCTGAAGTTGGTGATACGGTCACCTTTGGCGCAGATAGGGACTCCCCTGGTTCACCTTTAGCTCCTGGTTGTCCAGGTGTCCCTGGGTTTCCTGAGAAAAAGATAGTTGCAAGTTAAAGGAAATAATGAAATGATAATCATTAAAGATCGCTCCTTAAGATAGGGACACATAAAAGATCATATGTGTAACGTAAGCTTAACAACAAAGAGGAAAAATGGCTTTATTATTGTACGATTGTTAAAAAAAAAAAAAAAAAAAAAAAAAAAAAAAAAACTCTTCTCCTACTCTCGTGCTCACCGAACTTCCCCTTGGTATATACCTCGATATACGCACTCTAAGCATTAAGCAATGTTGCAAATGAAACGATGAAAAAATATATACACAGATGAAAATGAAAAAGTTGCTAAAATAAAACAGAAGTACATTGGAACTATCATCGTGAACCATCATTGTAATAGTTTTTGACCACAACATTTTTTTAAATTAAGTTTTACTTTTGTCATTATTATGATTATGATTATTATCGTTATCTTATTGTTTACCTTTTTCTCCCTTGATTCCTTGAGGGCCAATGTCTCCCTTGATACCTTGCTCTCCCGGTTTTCCTGGAGGTCCCATAATTCCTCGCGTTCCCTTCTTCCCCCTGATTCCTTCAGGCCCTCTGTTTCCTGGAAGACCACGAGCTCCTATTGGTCCGGGAGACCCTGCCACGCAAACCCTGTTTGGACTTTGACAAATATATCCTTTCATAATCGATCGCACGTATCTCTTGATGGACTCTCCAAGGTCATAGAGGCTAATCGATTCATTGCCGTTAACTGTATCCACGCTGCGACGAACAACTGGAATTTTGTATCGGATGGCTAAAATAAACAAAGTAAAATCATTGATTGATGTTTCAAGTATATTTTGGCTGCATTCAATATTGACATATTCTTTATTAATTTTTGAAGACTGGCTAGAATTTCCGCATTTAATTAGTCATTGGAGTAGACGATATAATCTGGATCAGACGATTTGCAAAAATTTAAATACATATCTAAGGCGAATGTGCACGAGCACAGATGCTTCTGGATAGAACAAGAACCTTTGATAGTTGATATCGTGCCCTTTTAACCAAGCTAACACATTAATGTTGTATAAATCTCACTAGCGTTCTAACTCAATTTCTGAAGTCTGGTTGGCCTCGCCATTCGTTACTTGTTTCGTTATTAATAACGCACATGAAAAAAATTACGCGTTCTCATGTAAGACGAGTGCAAAGTTGTAACACGAGTGTAATTTACGCGCGCGCTTTTACTTGCCCTACGGGCTCGGGTAATTTTGTTGTCTTTGAAAAATTTATTCTCGCTAACTAACATCAAATTGCACTCGAAATCATGTTATTACTTAACCATATAGTGATTAAAGCTACTAGTCTAATAATGGGTGGCCGTAGTCAAAATTTTAAAAAAACACGAGCCTGTCTTGATGTTAAGTTTTGAAAGACTGCTGAATTAATATTAAAACAATTACATTAGTCGCTGCGTGATAAAATTCTCGTGCCTGCAGTCTTATCGTTCTTCCATCCAATGTCCAGACAAGAAATACAGATACCGTATACTATATAAAAGAGAGCATATACACAAGGACAAAATTAGGGAGAAATAATTCAGAGTAAGTTCTCAGTCAACCTACCATTTGATGTGTCAAAGTTTTCGCTCCCGCGGGCAGAGGCTGAACTTTCTCTTAGAATGTCTCGGATTTGCTGAATTTGCAGTGAGAATTTCGTGTCCATTGTCCTCAAGTCTCGGGCGACACTTTCTATTCTCGTAAACAGAGCAAAACCCAACACAATTGAAATGACCGATAAAGTAAAGGAGCACATGGAAAATATGACGTAACGGTCTCTTTTTCTGGTGGTCATTTTTGTATCTGGTACGCAGTTATCCATGGCGAATGGAGATACAATGGTGAAAGGTTCAATTCACGTTCCGGTCAGTTGAAGCGCTTTTAGACCATCTCCATTTGAAAACTTCCCTTTCCGGCTTTAACTTATTTACGTCATACGTGACCTCAGATATATACACTTCCTCTCTCTCAGAGCATTCCCACAGTAGCACGTTTTGTTGTGCCTACTATTTGATTTTTTATGTTCGCGCTTTGAAGTCATGAAGCTCGATATTATTGTCTTGATTGCCCTGTTCTGCAGCCATGTCAATAGCTATTGATCATTCTTTTACTAAAACTCTAATCTTGTATGAGCCCTCTCCCCTCCCCCCTTCATTGGCGATAATGTTTGCTTACGTATGATGGAAATATTATGCTCTGAACGTGTCTGCTGAAGCAATTCGTTTGTTTTTGTAGTCACAGCTGAACCTATGGGAGGTCTTTCATACATCAATAACAAAGTCTGCCCTAGCTATAGCTTACAACCTTTCATTTGATCTCAAGACATCACGCACTGCTAGTAAGTTCCGGCAGAGTATAGTGCGGTTCTGGTCGGGGTATGGTTTGCAGTTTTGGGTAACCCGGTCGCGCCAAAGTACTAATGACAAAATTAGACAGCACTGTAATACCGCTGAGGCGTACTAAAGGGGTGCCCAGATAAAGTCCAAAATCCAGTGATACTTTCAAGCTGTTAGGGTTAGTTAATATATCTTAGGCATCCTGTCACGAGACCCAAGAGGAGAATTCAATGAGCGAAACATCAAAAATTCATGCGTCACGTTTATAAAAAGGAAAACTTCAACTCCTTACTCTTGTGTGTGAAGTTTCAGGAAAATCTTGACGTTTTGAAGAAATGCAAGAAAAAAATTTACGGCTCATATATATTTCAGAAGACAAATCTCGCCTAACGTTGGTTGAAAAAATTCATGAATCACCCTCGCTTTTCTGTCACGCATCGCATATTAATTTTGGCCTTAATAACACGTCACGTATAAACCCTTCGCTAGCCTCTTAAGGTGAACATGCAATCTCTCGATACGCGTAATATGTAGATTGAACCAAGCCTAAGGGCGGAGCTAGAGTTTATTTTCCAGCCCTTCACTTTAGCAGAACTTCTCACTGGCTGTTGAAGACTTCGTTCAAGGGAATTGGGGGACTGATAATGTACATGAAAAAATTACCAGCTTCGCAACAAAATTTACTTATTAATTTTTAGCAATTAAAATACATATCAAACAATCGTCACGTTAAGGGGAGGAGGAGGGGCACTGAGTTACGGTTTTTTTTTTTTAGTGGTATCAAGAACTATGGTTTTCCAGTCTTCGGTCAACAAATAAGGAGGTTATCATCTTCTTTTAGGTTCAGCGGACAATAAGATTGAATGTTTCAGTGATGCTGACCAAATTCTTCGCGCAAATATCCAAAGGAGGATAAAATGCAGGACGTTGTCAGCACAGCTCTCCTATTTAAACTTGGCACCCTTCCTATCAAGCTGAGGCATTGTACATCATGTGGATGCTGATTAATTTTTGGAAAACAACTGCTGCTTTCATCAGTTGTGATTCTCATGATATAACAATTTGAGTATAAATATATATTCACTCAGTTTTCATCTTATTGTCAAAGCCATGCAAGCAGAGCATGATGAAATTTAATCTGCTGCAGACTGAATGAGTATATTTGAAAAGAGTTATTACGCCTTTACAAAAGCTCAAATAAAGGTGACATCTTAACAAACTCGTCAGACTTAAATAAGTCAATGTGCATACTCTTCTCTATTTTCCTTTCAAATTCTAACGGTAATTAAATCAGTTTCAAGTTTACATTTAGGAAATGATTTCCGTTTTATTTTCACTAATTGTGACAATTATGAGAGACAGAAATTATACGAGGAAGGAAAAGCGGGCAATACTCTAAATGAGTTTTGAATGAAATTTGTATTGCTGCTTTAAGATTGCCTAGACTGCAATCAGGCCAGAAATGATATCTTTCATTTTGTTTATTTGAAACACGAGATGTTAGACCTTCTCCTGGTAAATCATGTCACGGTATCGCCTATTTGCAATTAATTCATGACTATCCCCAGAAATAGCAATTTATATTATTTGGTTTTTTTTTTTTTTTTTACCCCTTCTAAAAATATGATATCGCATCGAATCTAAAAAAAGGATTTTTCTCCTGTTCCGTCGATAAACAGATCATTGTTTTCCCTCGGCTGCGCCTCGGGAAAAGGATTGTTTACTTCAGGATCAGCCTTTAAGTGTTTTAAGAGAGGTTATCAATAATTTTCGAGAATTCGGCAACAGAAGCAAAAATTTTTATTTGCTCCAAAAGACCCTTTTGGTGAATCGTTTTCAAAAATAATATTCAAAAGTTCCAGCGAGTTTTTATTATGGAAATAAATACGAAAGTTCGAAATCGGCCAAAACGTACCTAATTTGCATAATTTGTATTGGGCTTTCAGTGCATTTTCACAACGCTCGTACAAGACAACGAAAAATTATCTTGGATTTATTTTTTCATAAGTTATTTTTCATCTCTTGGAGTAGCTTTGCAACTATATTTCATCTCCAACTGAACTTTCTTTCGTTTGTAACCACCCGCGTAAAGTACACTATATTTTCTATTCCGTTTGTAAGCTGAATTTTGCTATATTTCAGACGACCATGACATCGAGGGTATACAAATGTACATAAAATAAAAGAGCTCTTTTCAACGAGAAATTCTTCGTGAAAAGCAAGCGCCAGACCAAAATATATAGCATGCATTTTCACGGAGTTAGGCCATTTACTTGCTGTACTCCTACTGCAAATCGCACGCCATTGGGACAAAACTCGACGTGTTTGGTCTCTACTTCAGTTTTGATTCATTTAAATATATCAATTTTAACTTAAAAATTAACCTACCTTTATTGTTAAGTTAAAAAACCACCGTTTTAGGTAAAGTTTTTGAGTTGTTTACAAAGATACCAGCTCTGTCAACGTGTTTTTAGCTGAAATTGGCCTGTCGCATATATTGTTCTTTAATGTACAATCTATCCCGCTGGATTCTCGAAAATTACTGACAACCTCTCTTAATAATGCCAAAAAGTACTTTTTTACAGTAAGGTTATGATCACCTGACCATGGCCAGATGATTGATAGCAACATTCGTTTTGTTGATTTTTTCCAGCATTATAAGACCCTCCACCGCCTCCACACGAATTACCCTCATTATCTCCACTGCTTCCTCCAGAGTATCCTCCTCCTCCTCCTGCGCCTCCTCCATTTCCGTAAGCACCTCCACCTCCACCAAATCCACCAACAGCATTGTTAAACTTGGCTCTACCTCCCACCGCTCCTTGGATAAATCCTCTGCCACCTTCTCCACCATACCCCGAGGTACCGCCAAACTGCTTTGAACTTCTGCCACTGGAGAAGAAACCTCCGCCACCGCCACCTGTCAGGGTTAACAACAACAAGAATGGTAATTGTATGCAGTCGCTTCCTAACCTGTTCATGTAGGTTTAGAACTTGGCAAAATTGTTCATTCTTTGACTGACTAGACTAGAAGTTACAAAAATTAGCGGAGATCGATGATAATTGCCATGCAGTTCGCTATAAAATTCATTTGACTTCAATAATTTTTACTTTTCGCTTTTTTCTGACAAGAATTTATTGATATGCGGATACTTTACATAAAGGCTTTGGTTCGGAAATAGGTGATAGCATCAAAAAAACCCACTTACCAGAATTATAAGCATCAGCGGTCTGTGCACCATGTCCACCGCTCCCCCCTGACCATGACTTGTGCCCAGGATTTCCCAATGAACCAGTACTAGCATCACATCCTGAATGCCTTGAACGTGCAGATTCTATGCCTCCTCCACCCCCGGCTATAATCAAGAATGTGTAGGCTCCTCTTACTACAAATGTACCTCCACCACCTCCAGAGGAATGACTCCGCCCGTTTACTCCTCCTTCTTGACCGACAAGTATTTGAATAACTTCACCCTCCTTTAAACGGAATGTTCCAATCATTCTTGCTCCTCTCCCTCGGTATTGAGCACTGTTAGCGTATGAATCATACCCTCCTGCTGCTCCTATTGCTTGTATTCTGTAGTCACCAGTGTACGGCACAGTCCACTGTTGAATACCGCTGGACAATGTAACTTGTCCGTCATGATCCTGATTAGCGTAGTGACTACCAAGTGATGTTGGACCAAATCTTCCACTTGCACCAAGGTTGGTAAAGACGGCCTTAAACTCTTTTTAGTTAACACAAAAAGAGAGTATCTTTTTTAAAAATTGATCGATTCTTAGTCGTGTTTGTATCTGAGAATTATTTGTTTTGTTAATTTACCGTTAAAAAGGGGGCGTTAATAGTCTTAAACATGCTCTTTCCTCTTACTAGAAGAAAACAAACTTTTTTAAGGTTTTAAGTTGAAATCGAATGCAGTGTTAGACTTTAAAACCGTTGTTAGTTGTAAAAGGGGAGATAAGTATCATAAAAAAAACCCGTTTTGAAGTCAAGGGGGTTACTCGGTAATTTTGACTGAGACTGAGTACACCGATTTCATTTATCAACAACAATTAACCTCCTTAGCCTTTTTCAGGAAAAGAAGGGATATCTTCTTCAGACATACCTCTGTGTATATAATAAAGAGTTGTCAAAGCACTGATAGATCCCAGCTTGTTGGACGCGGTACATCGGTACGTACCAGAATCTTTAGGATCAAAGTGTGATATGTCTAAGGTTCCATTACTGACACTTGTTCGACCTTGTGGTAACGGGACAAGTCCTCTTGACCAAACTATTTTTGGCGTCGGAAAACCAAACGCCTGGCAAGAGGCAGATGCTTTTTTACCTCTATTGACTCTAATGACTCTGTTTGGAATTTTGGTAAATCGTGGAGGAGCTGAGGAAAACAAATAAAAAATGTTTTATCTAAGTTCACTTAGCAATTCTTAAAAAATCTTGGCTTACTTTATTTTAAGATGGAAAAAGATACAAACAAAATTACTTT